CGCCACCGGAATCCCAAACACCAGCCACTCCAATCCCTCTTACCGTACTGAAATCCCAAACACCAACCACCCCAATCTGGCTTACCCCACCGGTAAACCCACCCCAACCTAGAAAGTTTAGTTTACGCTCTCTTTCTCATTGATGCGAGTTCGCTGTGCCATTTTCGCACCTTCTTCTTCTGTACCTCTCGCATAGTAACATCTTTATGTTAGTTTTTTTTTTTTTTTTAATTTATTTTTTTTTTAATTTTTTTATTTCCTTTCATTTCTACATCTTTTCTCTCTAATTTGTTGAGGAATTTTGTCAATTTTTTTGGATTTTTTTTTTTTTTTGAATTTTGTAATGAATTTGAACGGGTTTTCTTTGGAGTGTTGTTGATAGGGTTTGAAGAGATTAATGGCGGTGGGAGGGATTTCATGGGAGTTTGGAGGGACGTGGGAGGATTTTAGTTGGTGTTTCGAGGAGAAAGTAGCTTGACGGGAAGGGATGAAGTGGTTTAAGGGGAAGGAAGGAGAGGGGCATCAGGACGAGAGGAGGAAGTCAGGAAAGTGGGGGCTGGCCGACGGGAGGATTGAGGTTAGTTTTCCGACGGGGTAAGGGGAATAAGGTGGCTGGGTTCGGGATTCCGGTGGGCCGTGGGCGGCGGTGTTGGGGAAGTCAGGGAAGTGGGGGCTGGGTGGGTTTTTTGAGTTTCTTTTTTTTAAAATAATATTTTTAGCTAATTAGGATTAGACACGTGGCATTTATGAAAAAAAAAAGAAATTTAACCTTTTCAACTGGTAACCGGTCAAAGGGATTGAAGAAAGTAAACAACCCCCAAAGTTGGGATTATTCCAGAATAATCTAAAGTTGGGATTATTAAAACAAAATGGGGCGAAGTTGGGATTTCTATTTACAATTTTTCCTTTATTTTTTTTATCAAAAACACTTTAAAATTATCTTAGTTATATAAATCCTATATCTTAAGATGTTTTTCTTGAAAGACAATTTTTTATTTTTAAATAAATTAAATCTTAATAAATCATTATTCGTTGTTTTTACCTACGTGGCAAATTTCTTAAATCTCATTCGTCGCTTTTATCTAGGAGGCAAGTAAATTTTTTAATTCTAAAATAAAAGAGAAATCTAATTTTTCATTGGTAAAAAATATACCTTTACTTATGTGGCGCGCCGAATATATACTCTCCAAAAATGCTTAATTTATTTATATATATTAGATTTATTTCTCCCATATATTTTTCCCTCTTATTTTTCCAATCATTTTTAGAGACATTAAATCTACAAAATACTAATTTGACTTAATTTTCCAGTCCCTTAATAACGAAACTAAAAAGAAAATTAAATTACAATTGATAATTAGGGATTTAGTAATATAAAAAATTATGAAAAATTAATTGGAAAATTTAAATTGAAAATTAAAATAAATTGTAAAAATAGAAAAATTTGTAAGTCAACTTTTAGATCGTCCGCTTTTATTATGTCAACCTTTTTTATTATTTTTGAACACATCAACCTTATAATAACATTAATTTTTATTACGTTAAACTAAAGGCATTATTGACTTTAATAACGATAATTATGGTTCGGTGCATAGAATAGCACTATCTTGATCGGGTGCACTCTATACATCACAAATTATTAAGTGAGATAGAGTGCACTCGATCAATAGCACCAAATTGATATTAAGAAATTATTAATTATTAATTTTATGTCCCTCCCTTTCTCTTCCCTTCTTTTTCTACCATTTTCTTCTATTCAAACAAAGTGTAAGAAAAATTATTGCGAGTAAATAATAATTCCTTTTCAAAACCACCAAAATAATAAAAAAAGCCTAATAATACACGAACATAGCCCACAAATAAATAATTGATTTATATAATAGGTGACAAATTAAAAGTAATTGCATTTTCATTTCATATGTGCTCATTACATATTTTATTTGCAAATTATTCATTATTGAATTATTAAAAATTGTAAAAGTGAGATGAAAAGTAATAATTAAATCATGTCATTAGGAAATAATAACTAACTCATTATTGAATAATAATCCCTTAATTACGTAATTATAAAATTAATAACAAATTAATTAGTTACTGACAATTTCATATAAAATAAATAAATATTCTTATTTATCAAAATTATAAAATAATATAAGAGAGAGAAAATGGGGTATTGAAAAAAAAAGTAGGAGAGACATTGGAGAGAAAAGTTTTGGTTTCTTCATTGAGGGATAAAATAAATCCCCTCACAAAAAAGCTTATGTGAAGGAGAGAAATATTTAAAGAGAGAGAGTGGTGAGGAATTTTTTGTTTTCCTCACATTGTGCATGTTGTAAGAGGAATATCAAGAATCATGTCCTCCACGATACATAAAAGGTCTTTTGCATGTGGTTTGAGATAGTAGTAGAAGGCAAAAGATTGTTTTCTTGAGTAACACTTAAATTCAGACTACCATTGCTATTCTTGGATTTTGAAGTGGAGGTTTGATTTAAAAATTTTGAATCTTGCATATCCCCAAAAGACTATTGAGTTTACTTTTGCTTCCATGCATGTTTTCCCAAAAGGGCCTTCCTTAACTCGACTTTGACAATTATCACCAAAAGACTTCTTAATCCCAGACATCTCAGATTAGAAGATTTTGGAGTAAGACTTGCAACATTGTTATTATCAATGTTACCTTTATTATTAAGATTTTCTTTTTCCAATTTCGAGACGAGTACAATATAGGGGAATGAGAAATCGTGCGCGAAAGAAAGAAAAGGAGGGAAATAGGGTGAGAAGGTAGTTACTAGTTAATGGGTCCCACATGACATCACACTTCAGTTCGGAGCTAATTAGTAGGAGGAAATTTTTGTGTTTTATAAAATAGTATGTGGCAAAATTAAAAAAAAAAAAAAAAAACTTGTAGCTAGGTGGTAATTGCTAAAACAACAACTATCGTAGGTGCTAAGTGTCAAAAAATCTTTATTCCAAACCCGCAAACTTTGATGGATTGTTGAATTTGTTGAGTTGAAGAGAAGAGAGAAGAACGAAACAGAAGAGAACTATTTGAGAATAGAGAAGAACATACAAGAAGAGAAGAACGCTGGACTAAGCACTACAATGGTGAAGTCAATACAATTGTGGAAGAAATAGATTAAGAACCCTAATTTACCTTTCAATTGATTTGATTTTTGGATGTTTGCACTATTTTTTTTTCAATTGATTTGGGGAGGTTTGCCCAAAGTTATATATAGAGAAAAAATTAGAGAGCCAAATAAAAGAGGGCAAATTAACCAATAGTAGGCTGCAAGTAGGGAAATTAACGAGTCAACGCCCGAAAAGTAGAGTCAATGCCGGAAAAAGATGGTGGAGGTTTCATTAAGCTAAGCAAAAAAGTGATCGTAGTGGTTTTTTTTTAACAAATATTCTTTTAAAAGGTTTTTTCTTGCAAAATGAGGCATTTAAAATGTTTTGTTTAACAAATTTTCCTTAAAAAAATAGAATATTTAAGAATATTTTTTTTTAAAGAAGACAATAATTATTTATTTAATACGAAGTAATACAAAGTGTACGCGTAAATGGGTAACAAGATTAAATGCCATTGGTAAGTCATTGGCGGATCTATGAAGGGGCCTAGGTGGCACCGCTCCCCCCCCCCCAAATTTTTTAATTTTTTATTTAAGTAAATGTGTAAATTTTTAGGTTAAATACAATTTTAATGCAATAAATAACATAAAATTAGCTTTGTCATAGACTCATAGTGGTAATGCATTGAGTTTGGACTAAAAGTCTTAGGTTCAAGCCCCTATACAAGCATTTTGTTTATTTATTTTTATTTAGTGTCCCTCCACACTAAATATTCTACATCCGCTACGGTTGGCAACAAGATTAAATGCCATTTAATTTTTTTAACAATCTTTTCCCACCACAATAAAAACATATCTTTTTTTCTTCAAAAAAAAAATAAATAAATAAAAAACATATCTTTTAAATATCTGAAAAAAAAGATTTACCTCCAAAACCAAAAGATTTACCTCTAAAATCAAAAGATTTGCCGCGTATGTGCAGTGGAGGGAAACGGGAAAAAAATAACGGGTCTTTGCAATTTGACCGCGTATAACACCAACGGTCGAATTTTGAAATCGACCGACTATGCAATTCCTATAAATATGCTTATCAGTAATCTTAGTATCTTACATTCATACTTTCCAAAATTAGTCAGAAAAACAAATTCAGATTGTTGTGTCAACAAATTTATATTAGCCAATTCTAACATGTCGATTTCTCAAGTCGACTCCTTTCGTACTACTTCATACCCTGCTGATATCGACCTCACTAGTTTGAGTGATTTCGCGACATTGGACAACTACATCAGAGAGGGACGAGCACGATTAGCATCGATGATCGCAAGTTTAGCAACCATGGAAACCCTTGTTGCCGAGATCAATCATGAAGATATGGCAGCCCTTGTTGGCGGGAACAATCATGAAGATTTGGCAGTCCTTTTTGGCGGGAACAATCATGAAGAAGATGTGGCAGTCCTTTTTGGCGGGAACAATCATGATGAAGATGTGGCAGTCGTTGTTGACGGGATCAATCATGAAGAAGCCGATGTTCTGGCAGATTTTAAGAGGGTAACGGTTGAGGAATGCGATGAGATTTGTTCGATTTGCCTAGATGAGGTCACTGAAAACATTAAGGGTGTTTGGTATGGAGTTAATGTAGGAAACGGAATGGAAATAAATTAGGAGGGGAAAGGGTAACAAATAGTGTTACCCTTAGTAGTTGTTTGGTACATCAAAGGAAACGGAAACAATTATCACCATTCCGTTTCCTTTTGTTTGGTATAACAAACGGAAACGAAAAATAAGAATGAATAATACAATATTGTCTATGCTCATATTTTACGGGTAAAAAAATAAAAAAATAACCTAGATAAAAAATATTGTCTATGCTACATATTTTACGGTTAAAAAAAACAATATATATATACAAAGCAAAGTTGGCACTCATTAATTATCCAAACATTGACTAATAATATGTCCATCATTATATGAATAATCCCAACACATAACTTGTATTGCTCAAGTTGCAAATGTTCAACAAAAAAACAAAGACATGACAACAATCAAATGCTACTTCTTCTTAAGAAGATCAATTGCATATTGTTTTTTCATGTTAAATGGTGCTTGATAGAAGATACGAAGCTTATGTTCTTCCACCATGAGAATAGTAGCAACCTCTAAAGCTTCGGATGGAGAAATGCCATCTAACTTCATCACCTCATCCAATACCTTGTTCACCTTTTCATCCATCCTTTGCTCCCTTTCTTCCGCTTTAGACCATGCACTAGCCATAGTCCCGAGATTAACATTGATATTTTCAAATATCTTCCCAAAATTGTTGGAAACATCATGGAGAGAGGCCACCAAATCATCATCATCATTCCTACACAAACTCTTCAAATTTACCTTGTTCTTTCCTTTCACCTTAACCTCCTTTGCCTTTATAGAGCGTTTTGCCATTTTTGAAGGAGTTATATGATCATCCTCTATCTTCACGGGGCGTTTTCCGGATTGACTTGTAGAAGAATAAGTGTCCGAATTAGTAGAATTCACATCATCTTCTTCATCACTCTCGACAATCAATGGTTGCTTATCAATCTCTTGATCAATACCTTCTATGGCATCAACGAATGACTCACTTACATCTCCGGTAGCTTTGTCTTTTGCATATATTTCTGCTAGAGTTTCATAATGAACGAATGGAACTCCATACAACCCCTTAGCTTTCTTATGAGTCTGCCATATAAGAGAATGTAAAATTAAGCACTAATTCTCATATAAAGTACAACCGAAACACTACTCCCTTCACTGCAAGGGATAGGACAAAATTCAGGAATAAATCTAAGAAAACCAGCCAAAACCAATTGACACCAATATTAGCTAAAAAGTCACCTACAAACATACACCAACCAGGAAACCAAAACAAATGCTCCTGAAATCATAGCCTGCAACAAAAGACAGAGCAACCACACTGACAGATACCAGCAGGCAGACTCACAGACAACACAGCAGTAACAACATAAGGACAACAGCCACCAACAAGCAACAAGACCGACCACAAAAAACAAAGCATAAGCAACAAACAACAGTCTGAACCAGCAGCAGTAACCTGATGGCACCAACAGCTCAGAGTTTGCAAAAGCAACTTGAAAACATGGATACTAATCGTACTAATCATACTATACTTGCTGTCTAAATTTTCTTCTGAATTATAGCTAGTATACCATGTCAAGTGAGTATATAGTTTTCGAAAAACTCAGAACACAGATTTAGATGAATGGTCATCTACTGGTAATAATACTGATTTGTTTCTCATTATGTCAATTCACAACAATTTTTCACCTCTCGCCCTCCAATCATTAAACATATCTTGGGCTAATTTATTTCTAAAATTGGTCCAATGATCCGAAGTAGCAACACTTGTAATAAATTCCCTTTCATCATCGGAATCACTTTCGGAATCATCATCGGATTCATTCAATTCATCTTCGTTTATATCATCCGTAGGCATGAATTTTCTAATTAGATTATGCAATAAGCAACAAGCCATCACGATACGCCCATGAGTTCTAATAGGAAAAAATGAAGGACTTCTAAGAATACTCCATCTTCCTTTAAGCAGGCCAAAACATCTCTCAATGACATTTCGCGCCCTAGCATGTTTCATGTTATAGAACTCCTCGGCACTTTCGGGTTGTTGATCCGTCCATTCTTTTAAATTGTATCTTTGACCTCTATATGGAGCAAGAAAGCCCTCACAATTCGTATATCCTGCATCAACCAAATAATAATTACCTTCAAAGTTATTAAAGAAACGGATTACTACCTACCAAAACTAACAAAACTTATACACTCACAAAAGTACACGCATATCATGGGCCGAACCTTCCCAACCAGGAAGAACATAAATAAATTGCATATTCGGTGCACAAACACCCAATACATTCATAGCAATTGTTCCTTTTCTTGTTCTATACTTTGGTCGTTCTTGTGAAGGCACATTGACATTAATGTAAGTCCCATCTAATGCCCCTAAACAATTCTACAAAAATACGAAAAATATTACTTACAAACAAGCAAAAATAAGAAAATCCTAGCAAAGGGCTTAGAAAAAACCAATACCTTGAAAGATTTCCACCTTTCATCTTCACAATCATCCGATATTGGCGTGGGATTGTAAAGTAGTACTTCATGCAACTTGAGAAAAGCCCTTAAACAAAGGTGAAATTGCCGGCTTACGGTTTCTCCACTTCTAAAGAAATATTGTCCAATAGATCTATTCTTCTTATGGTGAGCTAACGTGTATAAAAACATGGCTACGATCTCTTGAAGCGACATGTTTTTTGTTCCACTTAAACCCCCAATGTCTCTAAGCATCTCACAAATAATATTGAAAGTTCTTCTATTAACGCGAAGCTCACTCTTGCATTTCACATCACTCTCTCTATAAAGCCCTCTCAAAACTAACATTCGTAGCAATTTTTTGTTTCTTTTCCTTTCTTTTAATTGAACACCCCTTATTGTAACAACACACATCATATGCCACATCCAATACATCATCAAAATAATAATAACCATTGAAATAACTAGTTGTATTTGTTTTAGCTTTTTCTTCCTTATGGAACGCATAAGTCGGGGCATTGTAGAAACCTTGAAAAACCAGTCCAAAAAATATACAATAGTATCAATATACATAATGCTTAACACAAGCAATAATTGATATCAACCATATAAACAACACTTCGTATGACTGACAGTTTTAGACAAAGTCTTGATGTACACAGATTGGTAATGTAGATTAGGACTAGTTCACCTAAAATTGGTAATAGCAGCAGGGGGGAGGGGCAGCATCAGGGGAATAGCAGAAGGGGGAAGGGGGAAGCAGTAGGGGAATAGCAGAAGGGGGGAGGGGCAACAGCAGGGGAATAGTAGAATTCCTTGGCACTTATGGGTTGTCGATTTGTCCATAAGCAAAACAATAGCAATCAAGTAACAAGAATTAGAGACCCAATATGCCTTAAAAACCAGCAAAGCAATAGCAATCAAACAACATTAACAATCTGCCTCAAAACATTGATTTTCGCTTAACAAAGCTGATTATTTACCATTGACATTTGCTAAACAAATCTGATTTGCAGATCAAAACATCAGTAAGTATTACTATTAAGCATAAAATCGAAATTTGGGGGAAAAAGAAGCCAAATAATAATAGCAAATTATAATAGCATAAAATCGAAATTTGCATGACAAAACATCAGTAAGTATTATTTCATAAAATCGAAATTGATATCATGTTAGCAATAATGTCATGAAGCAAAAAACAGGAGAAAATAAAACTCAAATAAAACTGAAAAATTAGGATAGAAAACCCTAGAAATTAATTAACACCATAAATCGAAAATAGCAATCAACATAAAGAAAAAATATAGATCGCAAATCAAATTAAATAGCAATCTTTCAATATACAGTAGAAAAATCAAAACGCAATCAATAAGACAAAATTTTTATAAATTCAACACAACTCAAAAACTAGGGTTCTTCAACAAAAAAGTGAGAGATCAAACCTTGAGTTTGTTGATTTCTGGAAATTTGAAGTACGAAATTTAGAATTCTTCAGCGAATTTGTGGCTTCGATCGATCAAAGTTGAGGATTGTGGGGAGATCTGTTGTATGAGAGGAGAGAGAATAGATAGAGGAAAGAAACTGGATTTGTTTCCCCAAGTTTTACAGTGGAAACAAAGTAATGGAATGGGTTAGAGGAAGGAAACGGTTTCTATTACTTAACTCTTTAACCAAACATCTTCTAACGGAAACGGTAACCCGATTCCGTTACTAACCCCATAAAAAGCCCATACCAAACATGCTCTTAAGTGTGTTTTGAGTTGCAACCATGGCTTTCACGAGAGTTGCATACGAAGGTGGTTCCAGAGGAAACGAACATGCCCGCTTTGTCGTTTCGATTATTCAGCTAGCTAACTATAAATGATGATGTCGTGAAATTTAGGCACTAGTGACTGTTTCAGATCAATTTAATTGATGTAATTACTGCTAATTAGGTTTAGGAAATTTTGTAATCAACATTTTCAGATTAATAGTATATCGCTTTTCTTAGTTAATTGCTCTGTTGCAGCGTTTGTTGTTTTGTATTTTTGATTGCTGACGTTTGTGTTATGCTAATTTGCTGTCAATATCTTTTATTCTATTGGTTTTACTTTGTTGTTACTTTTTTTATTTATTTATTTATTATTATTTTTTTTTGACGTTTGTTGTTATTACTAATTAGGTTATACCACATTTATAGATTGTTGATTTTGTAGGGTTTGTATTATAATTTTAGTTGTATCAGTTTTTACAGATTGACAGGAGGATTGGAAATTGGATGCTATTCAAAATAGTTTTGTGAAATTTGCTAGATTCTCTGTAGTGAAGAAATACAAATATGCTGAGCAAATATGCTTTATATTCAACAGTAAATTATTTGTAATAGTATTAGACTATACAAAGATATAATTCGAATAACACCATTTAGTTTATATATAAACAGCAAATCATAAATGTTACAAGATACAAAACAGAATAATGATAGAGTTTTGTACTTTTTTTTTTTTTTTGAAAGGTGATAGAGTTTTGTACTTAATATACAATTTTATCAAAACTAAACAGAGCTTCTCTTTCTTGTTCAACCTTGACCAAAATCTGTCTTGCTCCGAATCTTAAAAACAAAAATCGACGAATTCGTTTCATTTTCCACTTCATAACTGAAAAGCTGCTGTTCTGATCAGAATAAGATTACAGGCGCAGCTGTTCAGATCAATAAGATTACAGGCGCTGAGGCGCAGCTGTTCAGATTAGAATAAGTTTGCCCATCAGCTGATCTGTAAGATCAAAGTATAGCTACTTACTAGTCTCCTTTCTGTCACAATAGTCTGTCACAATCATTCTGAATTCGGACAGACACCTTCAATTCTTCAAAGCCTTCCAGCAATAACTTCAATTCTTCAAAGCCTTCCAGCAATAAAACAATCGTCAAAAGTGTAGATAGGAAACAGGAGATTGTTGATGAACACCACTAGCTAGGCTAAATTGCTATTAAGATTATCAACAACCAAATTTATTCTGCCCAGATTTTCAGCCATGCCTATACCAGAAGAATTAAAAAAAAAAAAAAAAAATTGTTAAACTAAAATTGAACGAGGAGATACCAGAAGATATGTCAGCTAGTAAACCTTATCATCTTATCCAACAGAAAAGTATAACTAGAACGAGGGTACACACTACACAGAAACAACAAAATTCAACATAAAGAAACCTTGTGCCTGTTGCTCTTGTAATCTGATAATAGCGCTTGGATGCCTCAATAGTCCCAGTACAAATCCAATCACAAGATCTAACCATCATATAAATCCAGACCAATTAATAATCATGTACATTAAATCTTGGTTGTTTCAATTTCTTACGGGGTTAAATGTAAGAGGGGGATAAAAACAAAATGTAACATTGTTTAACAATTGACACTGATACTTCTTTCTTCTATCAATTTCTTTGAGTGGACCAGAAAGGAGGGAACTAGTGAGCTTCACAGATAAAGTGATTGAGGAAGTCTTTTCCATCCCCAGACACAACTAGTTCCAAGCAAATAAAATGAGTGGGGTTGCATTAGACAGGCAATAAATAGCAAAAAAAGGCAATCCTTACTTCAAACACACAAAGTATCTTTTTTTTTTTTTTTTCCTTAAGTTTGTTCTAAACGAGGTAGGAGCAAATTTAAATCAACAAGGTGGTTTTTTTTTTTTTTTTTTTTTTTTTTTGGGTTGGCAACTGGCGAGGCCAGACAGGAGGGAATTAAAGCCATAGGTGAGCTTCACTGAGAATGAAATCTTTTCCATGCCCAAACACTAGTCCTATGCAGATAAATGAGTGGGATTGCATTAGACAGGCAACATAAAAATCAAAACGACAAGAGTAAAAGAAAACGGAGGAGCTATTTCATCCCTATCAATCATGCAACTAGACCTGTATGTAGATGTGTGACAGCTGCAAAATATGCTCAGCACCACAAAACAAAACAAAAAAAATAAAAAATAAAAAAATACTGGAATTCGAACTTAAAAGGAAAAAGAAAGGGCATTCAACATCTCAAGTGGACAACCTCCATTGTAGGTTATGACTTCTCTACCCCCACATTCTCCATATCTCTTTGCATATCTGATTTTTTTTTCCAGGTTCCTCTGTTTTCCCGCCCATGTCCACACTCTCTTTGATCACTGGCAGGCAAGTGCTGAGAATACCACCATGGAATTTCCCTCGGGTGACCAAAAGCCAAAATTCTCTAACTCTTGTTTCTCATAAAATTGATTCTTCTATTTGTAAACATAGGGTTTCCATGACCAAAAATCTGAAGTAGCCATGTCCGAGTGATACCGACCCAATCCGACTTGGATCTCATACACATAGTGCAGTGTTCCAAGAAGAGAAAAAAATTGCCAAGTCCAGGAAACATAGCTAGATCACCAGGAATTCAATAGTGCCACGAAGTAGAAACTAAAGACAGAGGGAAACCCCTACTTAATAAATAATTACTCAACAAGTTCTCAAAACAGATAGAAATCAAAGATCAAGGATTTGACTTGAAATTCTAGATCTATTATATCCTTAAATAATAACCTGGTTTCAAATAAAAAAAATAATAACCAGAACACCTCTCAAGCAAAATTCTCAATATAAACTTTATTATCTACAAGAATTTATGCTTCACTAATTCCGCACTTTGAAGGTTTAATGCCCCTAAAACAGGTTGACAGTTTGATCTCTAATATTAAAACAGGTTGCTAACAAGCATCCAATACGCCTCTTTGAGTTAGTACAGCAGAAAATTCTTAGCAATGAATTAATTCTCTCTTAGTAAGACTAGGGCTTGGGCAACTCATTATATTAGCTCTTAAGTCCATAATAGAGCTAATACCCAAAGTATAGTGCTCCATACTAAGTAGGGTACGCTTGACAATCGTATGCTTGTGATGTAAGCCTGTTAGGTCACTCATATAAGTGGTTTAATCCACTTGTTCAAATTATGATCAATAGTTGGACAGATGTATAATATATTCCCCTTATACAAGCAGCCAGAATATCAAAGAAACTAATAGCAAAAATCAATCAATCAAAGCCTTAATCCCATAAATTCCATAACAAGTGAGCCGAAACAATCTAAACCGCAAGATAGTGAGCCTTTCTTAGGTTACTACTACTACTCTTTTTAGTTAACACATTTCTTTTATCACGTTTCCAACGCACATGTTTAAAAATTAATGTCTCCAATTATTTAACGAATACAACAGCAACAACAAAGCTTTGATTTGGGGTTGGCTAATATAAATCGTCATAAGGAACCAAACGGAGTACGATATAAAGAAAGGGACATAACAAGCTAATCATTTGAAAGAATTTGAAAAAAGGGTGAGTAAAGTGAGCAAAAGGAGCATAGCAGAAATATTATCAACGAATAAATATATACTTACTCCGTTTTTATTTAGTTGCAACACACCCCTTTGACACGCATGTTAAGGAAGATATTAGACTATGTAAACGGATAAATTAATTTACAAAACACCTATAAGAAGAAAGGGATAAGTTGCTACGGTTTAAATTTCATAGCTTAATTCATTCGTTCACCTAGTTTAATGACTTCATCCATAAGCGTGACAAAAGGTGTGTTGCAAGTATAAAAAAAATAGAGGAAGTATATAAAAAAATTGATATCATTTTAACAAAATCCTACTCCCTCTGTCCCTAAAAGAACGACCCTTTTAGCCTAATTTTAGCCCCAAAATGTTCATCCCATCTACATTAAAATACCTTCCAATTTACAATAATATTTGTGCAAAATTAGCTTCCCCATGTAAATTTTGCTTTTTCCATATACTTTTATTACTTTCTCTCTCTATTTTTTTGCAACCCATGTAAAATTACTTTTTCAATGCACTTTTATTAGCTTTTCCATACACTTGTATTTCCCATTTAAATTCTTAATACCCGTGAAAACTCCCCAAAAGGGTCGTTCTTTTAGGGATGGAGGGAGTACATGACTATTATCATGACTATAGATCACAAAAGCTAGTCAAAGTAGAGTTTGTGAGCATTGTCAAAACATTTCAACGAAAAAAGGAATGAAGTATTATACTAGCTACAGTAACATCACATCATGTTCCATGAACAAGAATCATAATTACTAAAAGGCAGATTTGCCAAAGAAAAGCACATCAAAAACAGACCTGAATTGACATCAAACAGCGGGCAACCCTTAATACCCGTGATGCAAGTACTACCCCAAACCTAAATCATTGCAATAGAAACCAAATAACATTTAACCAGAAACAAAATGGACAAAGAACAATAATTAAACCACATATGTTGCCTCAAAGGAATATCAGTAGTTCATACATAACTAGTTGAGCTGAAATTGGATGCCTTGTGGGTGAAGTTGCAGCTCCTAACGCATCATGGTGAGCCTGCTTCTTAATTCCAGGTAACACTTGCCTGCAGCAACATACATGAAACACAAACAGCCAAAAGTTTGCCATGTGGAAAAAAATTAGCACCCATTTCACTGCAAAAACAGTGAGCGCAACAGTCACTTGATGCAAAAAATCAATATACTGAATATACATAAATTAAAAAACATTTAACTCTTGCTTAATCCCAATTTACGAAAACTTCACCAATGAAGCCCAAGCAGCAGGAAAGCAAAAGGCCATCTCACATAACAAACAATTGTTTAGCAGGTAGAAAATGCATATAGCTATATATTAGCTCACCTGCAAAGGATAGCAAGAGGAATAATCAAACGACATTTCTCTGGATCAAGATGAGCACAGAGATTTTTTATGTCATATGGTCATATTCTAAGTTTCACAGTGAACGGCAACTCTGCTGATGCGGCAGCTGCTAATGATGTGATTGAACTCTACTAATGACAGGATGAGGGTCACTTCATCCTGTGGAATAACAGTTGCTTCTGCTGCAGCAGTACTAGCTGCTGCTCAAGAACGTGATGAATGATGCCAAGAATTGGATTGACTGGTACCCCGTGTATATGACGTACCTTTTTGCATGGCTGACAAAGCCACCAGATCCTGAATTGACATCCCACTTTGCGCAGAAGAAGGTTCTTGCGAGTTGCGAACTAGAATTTACAGGACATATCATGCATTGTCCAGTTTGGTTATGACCAACTAACCATACTTGCAAAAAGGTAGATCCTAATATGCAGGGTCTCCAACAGGGAAAAACCGAGTATTTCTTTCTTCAGGCAGTACATCAGATGATTCCATAACATCAACAGCAAACTCGGGAGCAATAGCTTTCCACCTCAGCTGACACAGGCCGTATTTCATTCGGAACCGAAGAAATGTTACTAGATTCAATGCGAGAAAACAAGAGCTTAGCAACCTCACCGACGAAGGACCAAACCTCTGCTTCAAACTACCTGAACCTGCATTTCCATCTAAGTGCTGAAAAGATATTCTTCCATTATTTCCGGAGAGCGCAGGCCAGATCAGGATGGGAAGGGATATGAGAGGAAGCTAAGCTAGACCAATCAGAAGCATGAACATTAGCAACATATACAGTTGAAGGTGGATATCATAGTTACCCTGAGAAGTTGCAAGTGTCATTGATGAATCCGAAGAATCAAGGCCATTGACCTGCCTGCATGCCAAGAAAGTTGTGAGAAGACCTAACAAATTAATTATTATTTTTTTTTTCTTTTGAAAGATAATTAATTTCTACTTCATTGAAACCAGCTTACCTCAGCTATCAATAAAAAAGGTGAAGCATGTAGATGGAAGTGAAAAGCATGTAATGAATGCCGTGTCTTCAGGACAACAGTAGGGATAGACAATTCTCCTCATTCATTATAGTGTCATTAGCCATATGTATAGCTAGCCAAAACAGAATATACACTTCAGCATCACGCCATCACTTGATTGAGCAACTGCAAGCAGTTCCCCCTGGACATGGAAAGCAATACGAGCAATTGGTCAGTCTGTAACAAATGAAGCATTCAGACTAGGACTTAAAGAAAAAGAGAGAACGGGCCAAATACGTTAATTTATTTATATTTTATACAGGATACAAAGTATTAACATAATAAAAGAAAAAGAATGAACTACAAACATTGAAATAAACAATCAGAGATAGAAGCAATTACAAATATCCCATGACCGAATAAATTCTGCTGTAATTGCACCCAAAGCCGAACTTCATGATCTAGACTCCCACTAGCAAACAAGCCTGGAATTGTTGGATGGAACCTAACCTGAATAGTTCCCAAAAGGCACAAATAAGAACAATTTAAATCAAGATAGAAACCATAAATGTAATCTGCACATCAATCAATCACCATGAAATTGAAAACAAAAAATCTCAAGTCCTTTTGAATGAATTATTCAATCTCACTCAAGTTGGCAAACAACTTCTGATCCTTGTCTGTTTAACACATTTTTCCTTTCAAGCTAAGAACACAATGACAAAACATTACAAGCATAAAACTACACCACATTTTCAAAAACAAAGACAAACAAAATTTAAGTCATGCATACAGATGAAATCCAATCGCAACCTATGCAAAGATGTCACAAATGACATTTCAAAGATTCACATACATCTTACAAATAGAAAGGCATACGTAGCATCCTATTTTCAAATTCTTGAAACTAATTTGGATCCCGAAAAGAAAAGGCCAGCGAAATAGATGTAGAATCAGGAATTATAAACTTCTCTTGAGTGACAGCCTCAACCTGTTACAACTATCCTGACCAAACCTATAGGACTCACTATGCCAGTTATTATTTTGATTTGTTGGTTATGGCAAGTGACTTAACCAAGGCATCACAGTTGTCTCCTGCAAAATAATAGTTACCTCTACTATCCAAAGATATGATCTCTCAGACAGGGCAAACACCAAAGCACTCTTTGATTCTTTTTTTTTCTTTATTCTATCACTGGTGTAAAACCCTTTAAGGTTTTGTCAAAGACAGCATTTTTCTAAGCTCCTTTAAATGTAGTCAAAGACAACATTTTTCTAAGCTAGATGCTTTCGGTTTCCATTTCTCTAATATGAAAGTGAGGATGGAAGACAGCCCTGACCAAAGAAAACCCATGTCTCAGTACGAAAATATCAAAATGCAAGCCAATCATCAGATTAGAAACTTAAAAATTTTCTAATAGATTCACAAACCCCCTTTTGATTAGATAATTAGAGAATATAAAAATATACAAGTACTTGTTCTTACATTTCCATATTGCTGCCAACATTGTTGAATTCTGAAACCCTGCCCTCTAAAGGTTCTACGTTCGGATGTTGATGTTTGCCTTCTTTTTCTTCCATATGGAAGTTCCTATGTAGCTTGTCAAGTATCCTCCAAGTGACAGCATCTGGAGATAACCCATTCTTCCTCATCTCCCCAACGATCTGGTAAGCTTGCTTCTTCAAGCCCAACTTACAAGCGCAGTCAATTAAAATGTTATAATTGTAAATATTAGGCGATACACCACAATCTACCAGCTCATATAAGAAGTCGGAGGCCTCATCCAACCTACCACACTGGCAAAGCCCTTTCAATATGGAAGCATAAACAAAATTGTCATGAATCTGGGAAGGCCATATTACTTCATCCCAAAATCTTTTGGCGTCATCTAAGCGACCAGCCTCACAAAGCCCGTCAATAACTATACTATAAGTGGTGCTATCAGCATTTAAACGTTGGGCTACCATGGCTCTATAGATCTCCATAGCTTCATTAGCCTTCTTGAGATTAAATAATCCTCGAAGAACAGCATTATAGGTCACGACACTGGGCCTGAGTTGTCTTTCTGGCATTTTCTCATGCAACAGAACAAGAGCTTCTTTGACTTTTCCAGCATTCAATAATCCACCAATAACAACAGTGAAAGTTATGGCATCAGGTGCACAAAATTTACCCAGCATCATGTCATAAAATATTTCCATTGCATCTTGGATCCTTCCCATTTTACATAAACCATTAGTAACAGTATTAAGGGTGATCACATCAGGCTTACATTGTGCCTGCAGCATAAAAACAAGTGTATTTAGGAGCTCTGTTGCATTGTTGATAAGACATAGAGCTCTAATATATATATTATAGATTCTAGTTTGGTCCACATTTCTCAGCTTGAGAACGGATTGCAGAACTTCCTTTGCCTTGGGTACATCACCCTCTAGACAAAGACTTTCTACCAAGATCTTGTATGTATATTCAGATGGCACATAGCCAAATACAATTCCTTCTTGAAACAGCTGAAAAGCCCTCATACATCCCCCCTCCTTGCTTAATCCGTGGATTATAGAATTATATGCCGTCTTGCTTGGTGTAAACCCTCTTTTTTTCATTATATATGCTATCCTTGAAGCTCCATGATGCCTACCAACTCTGCAAAGAGAATCTACCATCTGAGCATAAACAAATTCCTCAGGAACACTTCTACCTTGCGGCATATCTTCAGCAATTTGGAAAACTTCATGAAATAATCCTTCCCTACACAAGCTATCCATAAGGTTGGCAAATGCTGCACAATTAACAGATGGATTGATGACATTTTTCATCTGCTCCCAAAGCTTAATAATCAATTCCTTCCCACGCTGTGTATCACCACTCCCCAAAACTCCACCAAGCAAAACACTAAAAGTCAGAGAATTAGGCACTACATTGTTCTCAAACATTTCGTTAAAGAGCTTAAATGCAGAACCCATCTCCCCATATTTACAATACCCGTTAATCAAAGTAGTGTAGGAAACAACAGTTGGACAATGCCCCCTGTGAACCATGTCAAACAACACTCTATGAGCTACATGAGGCTCGGATGACTTGCAAAACTGATCAATCAAACGGTTATAATTGCTCAAAGATGGAACAAACTCAGGGTTTTCTTTTATCAAACTGCAAACCAAATCAAATGTAATGTGTGGGGTTCGAGAATCAAGTAATTTAGCAATGAGGACATTGCAAGTACGCACATCCGGAATACATTGAGAGGCAATGAAGAAGAGGAAGCGCTGGTGAGCCTCGGCATAACGCTTAGACCGACAAAGGGCATGAATTATACTGCTGAGATTTAGAGAATCAGGATAGTAGCCTCGGACACGGATGCTGTCCAAGAGACAAAGTGCCTCATCAACATTTCCATCAATAGCACATAGCTTATGAATTTTTCTTGTCCAGTATGTCTTGTTCAATATGCTTTCACTGTCCAAGTTTACTTCTTCAACCCTCTGTTCTTGTTTTTGGGTTGGCACATAACTTATGAATCTAGCTGCTTTTGAGAGAGACAGAGAAAATAATGATTCAGCTGTTAGCCATTATCGCAAGAATTAATGCTTTATGTAGGCAGAAGCTAAACCTTGTCCAAAAAATACATTGAAAAAATGACCTATAAATTTATAAAAACACAAAACCAGAAGTGAACACAGAGAGGACCTAACCTTTTTCCAGGAATTCTGATATGGGCTGTGGGTTTATGAGATGAGCATGGATGCAGATTCGCTTCACTGTCGTTTTCATTTCTTTGCAAAAACTGAATTTGCAACAGAATTTCAAGTTTCAAATATAAACTCACCTGAAAAGACCAGAACAATGAAGAAGGGTCAATTCTTCTTCTCAGGGAGCTAGAGAAAGATAAGTTAAATCATCGGTTGCAAAGTTTAAATAAATCTATCAATAATCTGATAAGTATTTTTAAAACTGATTTTTGGTATTCAATTCCTATAGCATTGAAGCTAGCAACAATATAAAATATGTCTCACTATTTTTGGACAGATTACCATATTGGTATTGACAAGATCCTTTTCTATAATTGATGGAAAAATACCTCTAGCAACATTAAGGTATTAGAATTACGACAGGGCAAATTAATGCCAAATATTTCATCGAATTTGGCACATGTAAACCAAAAAACCTAATTTTTGTTCTTCTACTTATGTACTAGGATATTCTAGTCAACTTCTACACCAATTTGGTGGTCTCTTTGAAACTTTGCAAGATTTATTTTTTATTATTTTATTATATACTTTGTATATTTCTTTACCAATGCGTTTTTTTTGTACGGATGATTACACCGTGTGGCTACTTGTAAATAAACGGAGCACGCCCTATAACACTAATAGACTAACCCCTATTATACTGAGTGAGTAACCTCCTATTACACTTATTGAGTAACCCTAAAATAACAAAGTAACTCCTACAACACTAATAGTGTAACCCATATACTATTACTAACCCCTATTACCCTAATAGGGTATCCTCTATAACACTAACCAAGTGTTCTGCTAATTCAATAAATTCATTTACCTCATTCAATAAATTCATTTGAAGCTTCTGAAATTGATGCAAAATAACATTTGATGGCTTAAATTTATTTTTGTTTGTAGGTTAATCTACGTAATTTACATTGTAATTGATTTTCTGAATTGATGATTCAACTATAATTAATCACCATATCCCATGTACACCAATTAAATAAGTAAAAATCACCATAATTTCATCCATATTTCAAATTTGCATAAAAAAACCAAAATCAAATGTGGAAAACCTCAATCTAAACAGACATTAAATCATCTCGTCCCTGAAAGGCATAAATTTTCCAGTTTCATAGTTCAGTCCTAACATTAAGGGTTTTGCAACAAATTTAGCAACCAAGTTTGACTAAATTATCAAATTAAATTCTTCTTGTTTAACAATATGAACACCTAAATTCTTGCATTTCAGTATTAATTTATGAGAAATAGTTCAATAATCAATCCACCTTAGAAGAACCTTGAATTGAATTAAGTTAACAATCAACAGTATATAGTGAAAAACTGATATTCGCTGATTAAAAAAACAACTTACCAATGCTACTGTTCAATGGAGCAGAGAAAGCTTACAATCCGCTTCAATGGAGAATTCAGAGTAGTCGCAAAAATACTCAGGGGGTGTTTGGTATGGAGTTAATGTAGGAAACGGAATGGAAATAAATTAGGAGGGGAAAGGGTAACAAATAGTGTTACCCTTAGTAGTTGTTTGGTACATCAAAGGAAACGGAAACAATTATCACCATTCCGTTTCCTTTTGTTTGGTATAACAAACGGAAACGAAAAATAAGAATGAATAATACAATATTGTCTATGCTCATATTTTACGGGTAAAAAAATAAAAAAATAACCTAGATAAAAAATATTGTCTATGCTACATATTTTACGGTTAAAAAAACAATATATATATACAAAGCAAAGTTGGCACTCATTAATTATCCAAACATTGACTAATAATATGTCCATCATTATATGAATAATCCCAACACATAACTTGTATTGCTCAAGTTGCAAATGTTCAACAAAAAAACAAAGACATGACAACAATCAAATGCTACTTCTTCTTAAGAAGATCAATTGCATATTGTTTTTTCATGTTAAATGGTGCTTGATAGAAGATACGAAGCTTATGTTCTTCCGCCATGAGAATAGTAGCAACCTCTAAAGTTTCGGATGGAGAAATGCCATCTAACTTCATCACCTCATCCAATACCTTGTTCACCTTTTCATCCATCCTTTGCTCCCTTTCTTCCGCTTTAGACCATGCACTAGCCATAGTCCCGAGATTAACATTGATATTTTCAAATATCTTCCCAAAATTGTTGGAAACATCATGGAGAGAGGCCACCAAATCATCATCATCATTCCTATACAAACTCTTCAAATTTACCTTGTTCTTTCCTTTCACCTTAACCTCCTTTGCCTTTATAGAGCGTTTTGCCATTTTTGAAGGAGTTATATGATCATCCTCTATCTTCACGGGGCGTTTTCCGGATTGACTTGTAGAAGAATAAGTGTCCGAATTAGTAGAATTCACATCATCTTCTTCATCACTCTCGACAATCAATGGTTGCTTATCAATCTCTTGATCAATACCTTCTATGGCATCAACGAATGACTCACTTACATCTCCGGTAGCTTTGTCTTTTGCATATATTTCTGCTAGAGTTTCATAATGAACGAATGGAACTCCATACAACCCCTTAGCTTTCTTATGAGTCTGCCATATAAGAGAATGTAAAATTAAGCACTAATTCTCATATAAAGTACAACCGAAACACTACTCCCTTCACTGCAAGGGATAGGACAAAATTCAGGAATAAATCTAAGAAAACCAGCCAAAACCAATTGACACCAATATTAGCTAAAAAGTCACCTACAAACATACACCAACCAGGAAACCAAAACAAATGCTCCTGAAATCATAGCCTGCAACAAAAGACAGAGCAACCACACTGACAGATACCAGCAGGCAGACTCACAGACAACACAGCAGTAACAACATAAGGACAACAGCCACCAACAAGCAACAAGACCGACCACAAAAAACAAAGCATAAGCAACAAACAACAGTCTGAACCAGCAGCAGTAACCTGATGGCACCAACAGCTCAGAGTTTGCAAAAGCAACTTGAAAACATGGATACTAATCGTACTAATCATACTATACTTGCTGTCTAAATTTTCTTCTGAATTATAGCTAGTATACCATGTCAAGTGAGTATATAGTTTTCGAAAAACTCAGAACACAGATTTAGATGAATGGTCATCTGCTGGTAATAATACTGATTTGTTTCTCATTATGTCAAGATTTCAAGATACATTCACAAAGTTAGTATGAAACTAAGAAGGTTAGTGTAATAAATAGCAGTTCATACCTTCACCCATTCATCGTACACGGCCTTGTCTACTTGCAACAATTTCTTTTCAGCATCCCATCCAAAAAGAAAAACACTCAAAATCAATTCAAAAAAATAGAACATCCCCTTGACACAGAACAAATCAAGGCACAATTCATGAGCAAACAAATTAAGAGGCAGGATAATAAAACAGGCATAATTCCAATTTCAGAGTACAATATGCTAATGGTAAGCTTATTAAACAAAAATAATCTAAAATAAAATGCCACAAGCAGATATATGAAGAAACATATATTAAAGAAAAAGCATACATTGTTTGCTATTGACCGTGTCTACCTCTCGTTCTCCAATCATTAAACATATCTTGGGCTAATTTATTTCTAAAATTGGTCCAATGATCCGAAGTAGCAACACTTGTAATAAATTCCCTTTCATCATCGGAATCACTTTCGGAATCATCATCGGATTCATTCAATTCATCTTCGTTTATATCATCCGTAGGCATGAATTTTCTAATTAGATTATGCAATAAGCAACAAGCCATCACGATACGCCCATGAGTTCTAATAGGAAAAAATGAAGGACTTCTAAGAATACTCCATCTTCCTTTAAGCAGGCCAAAACATCTCTCAATGACATTTCGCGCCCTAGCATGTTTCATGTTATAGAACTCCTCGGCACTTTCGGGTTGTTGATCCGTCCATTCTTTTAAATGGTATCTTTGACCTCTATATGGAGCAAGAAATCCCTCACAATTCGTATATCCCGCATCAACCAAATAATAATTACCTTCAAAGTTATTAAAGAAACGGATTACTACCTACCAAAACTAACAAAACTTATACACTCACAAAAGAATGATGAGCTTCACTTACCTCGAGGTACCCTAAAACCGTTTGGTCTAGAGAGAGCATTTGCGAAGTACACGCATATCATGGGCCGAACCTTCCCAACCAGGAAGAACATAAATAAATTGCATATTCGGTGCACAAACACCCAATACATTCATAGCAATTGTTCCTTTTCTTGTTCTATACTTTGGTCGTTCTTGTGAAGGCACATTTACATTAATGTAAGTCCCATCTAATGCCCCTAAACAATTCTACAAAAATACGAAAAATATTACTTACAAACAAGCAAAAATAAGAAAATCCTAGCAAAGGGCTTAGAAAAAACCAATACCTTGAAAGATTTCCACCTTTCATCTTCACAATCATCCGATATTGGCGTGGGATTGTAAAGTAGTACTTCATGCAACTTGAGAAAAGCCCTTAAACAAAGGTGAAATTGCCGGCTCACGGTTTCTCCACTTCTAAAGAAATATTGTCCAATAGATCTATTCTTCTTATGGTGAGCTAACGTGTATAAAAACATGGCTACGATCTCTTGAAGCGACATGTTTTTTGTTCCACTTAAACCCCCAATGTCTCTAAGCATCTCACAAATAATATTGAAAGTTCTTCTATTAACGCGAAGCTCACTCTTGCATTTCACATCACTCTCTCTATAAAGCCCTCTCAAAACTAACATTCGTAGCAATTTTTTGTTTCTTTTCCTTTCTTTTAATTGAACACCCCTTATTGTAACAACACACATCATATGCCACATCCAATACATCATCAAAATAATAATAACCATTGAAATAACTAGTTGTATTTGTTTTAGCTTTTTCTTCCTTATGGAACGCATAAGTCGGGGCATTGTAGAAACCTTGAAAAACCAGTCCAAAAAATATACAATAGTATCAATATACATAATGCTTAACACAAGCAATAATTGATATCAACCATATAAACAACACTTCGTATGACTGACAGTTTTAGACAAAGTCTTGATGTACACAGATTGGTAATGTAGATTAGGACTAGTTCACCTAAAATTGGTAATAGCAGCAGGGGGGAGGGGCAGCATCAGGGGAATAGCAGAAGGGGGAAGGGGGAAGCAGTAGGGGAATAGCAGAAGGGGGGAGGGGCAACAGCAGGGGAATAGTAGAATTCCTTGGCACTTATGGGTTGTCGATTTGTCCATAAGCAAAACAATAGCAATCAAGTAACAAGAATTAGAGACCCAATATGCCTTAAAAACCAGCAAAGCAATAGCAATCAAACAACATTAACAATCTGCCTCAAAACATTGATTTTCGCTTAACAAAGCTGATTATTTACCATTGACATTTGCTAAACAAAGCTGATTTGCAGATCAAAACATCAGTAAGTATTACTATTAAGCATAAAATCGAAATTTGGGGGAAAAGAAGCCAAATAATAATAGCATAAAATCGAAATTTGCATGACAAAACATCAGTAAGTATTATTTCATAAAATCGAAATTGATATCATGTTAGCAATAATGTCATGAAGCAAAAAAACAGGAGAAAATAAAACTCAAATAAAACTGAAAAATTAGGATAGAAAACCCTAGAAATTAATTAACACCATAAATCGAAAATAGCAATCAACACAAAGAAAAAATATAGATCGCAAATCAAATTAAATAGCAATCTTTCAATATACAGTAGAAAAATCAAAACGCAATCAATAAGACAAAATTTTTATAAATTCAACACAACTCAAAAACTAGGGTTCTTCAACAAAAAAGTGAGAGATCAAACCTTGAGTTTGTTGATTTCTGGAAATTTGAAGTACGAAATTTAGAATTCTTCAGCGAATTTGTGGCTTCGATCGATCAAAGTTGAGGATTGTGGGGAGATCTATTGTATGAGAGGAGAGAGAATAGATAGAGGAAAGAAACGGGATTTGTTTCCCCAAGTTTTACAGTGGAAACAAAGTAATGGAATGGGTTAGAGGAAGGAAACGGTTTCTATTACTTAACTCTTTAACCAAACATCTTCTAACGGAAACGGTAGCCCGATTCCGTTACTAACCCCATAAAAAGCCCATACCAAACATGCTCTCAGTGTAGAAAAGGGACAGTCGAACAGGGAGTGATTACAAGTGAAAAGCTACAGTATCATTTTAATTCACTTTGACGAGGCATGATGGACCACTACCAGGTATGGACTCCTTGGTCCATACTTAGGGGCAAAAATGTACTTTTAAGTAAATATTTAGACAGTAATTATTTTGTTACCAGCTGTAAAAAATACTCTCTCTCCTCTTTTCCCTTCTCTCTCCTCTTTCCCCCTCTCTCTCCTCTTTCTCCACCGGAAACCTTTTTTTTTAAAAAAAATTCTCACCTCTTTTCCTTTGTAATTCGAAGACCTCAAGGCTAGTTTTTATCTCGACCAGAATTTTCACCGGAAAATCAATTTGAAAACCTTTAAGCGAGAGGAGAGAGAAATCACCATCACCATCATCATCTTCGTCTTCATCAACAACAATGCCGGTGGGTTACTACATTGTCCTCATCACCACCGCTATCGAATATGTAATAATAATATCCAGAGCTACAATAACAGTATAAAATCATATGATATTAGTATATAAATCAACCATAGTAGTATAAAAATCAATAACAACAGTATAGTCAAACCTACAATAATCATATACCCAAAAAGTATACAAAACAATTCAACAATAACGGTATACAAATAAGAATTAATAGTATACAAAATAAAATAACAGTATACACGTTAATGATAACAGAGCACCGACAAACAATTAATGTCGTCATCTTCAACTCCTTCACATCCAAATTGTTTCGAACTTCGACAACACCAAACAAAGAACTCACCGTTTTTCATGGAGAAAGTCGTAAATTTGCACACCGGTGGTGAATTCATCGTCTCTCGTGACCAAAACAAGATGTTTAAAGAGCTTGAAAATCCTTCTCCGCCCTCCAATTATACTACCTTTTATCAACCACAAAATTTGCTGCTCCGGTCCGGCGCCGGTCATTTTTTCACAGGAAACAACAACAAAGAGGGGAAAATAATTTCTCTCTCCTCCTTTTTCTTTTTTACCCACCCCTCGTTCTCATTTTACCCCCTATTTTATTTTGCCTTTTTTTAATTCACAAATATTATTTTTTTTTTATTCAGGTATTGGACAGGGGGGTCCATACCAGGTAACGGGCTATAGTTTCTCCACTTTGACCACTCTCACTCATGGGCAAAAAAATAAAAATGTCACTCTCTCTCTACTAACTTTCTCACTCCTCTTTTCCATTTTTTTTATGGGCATTTTATTTAAGAACCCACACTCATGGGCTAAACAAAAAAAAAAAAAAACCACACCACCATCTCTCCTATATTTTCTCTCACAAACACTCATGGGCCCATAGGTACAGTAGCAATTTATTTTTGCCATTCCTATGGGCATTTGATATTCTCCTCATGGGCATATTTTTTTTTGCTCATGAGTGGGATAACATTTTTAGCATTTTTACCATTAAATTCTCCTCATGGGCATTTTTTTGCCCATGAATGAGAGTGCTCTAAGCTACGGTATTAGACCTTAATTTTGGATTTTCGATTAACTGATACTTCCTCCGTTTTCTTTTACTTGCAACACACCTTTTAGGCACGCAGTTTTAGGAGATGATTAGTGAGGGTAGACGAGCGATTTTATCAATATAATTTTTACACGAAGATTAGAATAGGGTTAAATATCATTTGTAAAGATTATAATGAATAATTTATCCGTTTACATTACGTAAACTCGACCTCAAAACACGTGCCACAAGGCTGTGTTGCAAGTAAAAAGAAACGGAGGAAGTATTATTTTTAATAAATTTAAATTATTTTTATTGAATTGATTTTTTTTTTTTTTTTTTTTTTTTTGGGGAAGAAACTAAAATTTTTTTTTAGGAAATTTTGACTTTTACTACCTATCAAATATATCAATTTCATTTTTGCTACCTATGAAAACTTTTATTTTATTTTACTACCTAACATATGCCCTTTTTTTTAACTTTTGCTACCAGTTAACGTTTTCAGTTAATAATTCCGTTAGTGAGATCCAGCCACCCTCATTACCACCTTCTGCCACTCCTTAGCCACCCTAAATGTTTCCCCTCAGCCACCATAATTTAAAAAAAAAATTAAAATTAAAAAACCAGCCACCAAGCCCAGCCCTCATGTAGTCTCGTTAGCCACCCAGCCCCCTACCGGCACCCGGCCCCCAAAGCTGCAGCCGGCGCCGGCGAACCCAGCCCCCTCCCTTCCCCACCAACGCAGCCCCCTCCCTTCCCCTACTATCGCAGCCCAAAAATCGATTTCCCCCAAAATCGACCCAAAAATTGAAGATAATTGACCAGCCCCGAGATCGTTACCTTCGCTGACGAAGCCGCACCCCTATTTTCCGACGAAGTCGAAGTCCTTTTTCCCATAGAAGACGCAATCTGTGGTGGTTGGGGTCGGGGCAGCAAGAACGAGGGGGAAAAAGGAATGGCTGGGCTGCGTTTGTGGGGAAAAGGGAGAGGGATGGGGTCGCCAGCAGAGAGGAGGAGGTTTGGACGCCGGCCGTCGGCAGAGGGGAGGGGGAGGGGGGTTGACGGGAGGGGTTGCTTTTTTTTATTTTTAATTTTTAAATTTATTATTATTTAAAAATAAAATAAAATAAAATAAAATAAAATAAAAAACTTAACGAATTTAGTTAACTAGTAGCAAATTTTTTTTTTAAAAAAGGAGTTGATAGGTAATAAGATAAAATAAAACTTTTTCCAGGTAGCAAAAGTCAAAATTTCCTTATTTTTACTAAATTGAAATTGTTTTTATTAAAGTGAAGTTATTTTTGTTAAATAGAAATTATTTTTACCGAGCTAAAACCATTACCGCTATCAAGTAATTGTATTTAGTTGGCAGGCTTGGGTAACAATTATTATTACCTTAAAGGTTATGGTTTCCATCCATTTGCTACCCCTCTAAAACTTAAGGTAACAATTGCTCTTACCCTCCACAAACAAAAATAAAGGGATATAGGTTTTTTTTTTATTATAATTCTTCATTAAAGTTACTCCCTCCGTCCCTAAATTACATTCCTCTTTGGAAATTTACACGGGAATTAAGGAGGGAAGAATAAGACAAATAACAATAATTAGATAATGCAATGGGAAGTACAAAGATAGATTAGTTATTACTCATGACAAGTCATCAATCCTTTGCAAAAAAAAAAAGGACCAATCACATGCTCCTAATTAAAAAATTTTAACCAATAATATTCATTGTAATTTGGCACAAGGATTATGAGTGAGATTAGGTAAGGATGAGTGAGAAAGCATTAAATATAAAACAGAAAAAGAGAGTTGATTTACTAAAAAAAAACTTACCAAAAATAGAAAGGAGGAATGTAATTTTGGAATACCAAAAATAGAAAGGAGGAATGTAATTTAGGGATGGAGGGAGTACTGATTTGTTTCTGAATTTAAATTATTTTTACTAAACTTAATTCATTTTTACTAACCATAAATCATTTTAACTAATATTACTTTTTTTAAGAAAAAGTGAATAAAGTCTTAGTGTATAAGCATTACTCGTAATATTAGTTGTAATTGAATGAATAATAACATCATAAATTATTATTATTATTTTTTTTTTTGACAAGACGAACTAAAAAGAAAGAAGACAACAACAACAAAAGAGAGAAACAAAAAACTAAAAAGACCAGAACAAAATCTGTCGCTAACAAGCTTTGGCAGCCAACCAATGAGCCGGAGCAACCCACTGACGAGGAACCTTACGAAGCTCGCAAGCAGAAAACCTGGAAATGACATCCCTAATGCCTTGAAGCAACCATAAACAAGAAATATCCGAACAACCCTTATCATGAAGATAAGTAACCAAGTTCGAACAATCTGTGTAGACTGACAAACGACGAAAACCCCTGCGATCCGCTATACGGAGAGCCCAAAGACAAGCTTGTAATTCCGAGTGAATAGCAGAAGATGAAGTAAAAGCTCTCGAACCTCCCCCAATTACCAAATCCGAGGTAGAATGTCTGAAAATCCAGCCCGTACCTGCTGATTGATCCCGTGCTTTAAACGCCCCATCAAATATCAAAGTAATATCATAGTCTGACCCAACAGTTCCTATGAAACAGAGAGACAAAGGAGCCAGACGAAGAGAAGCACCAGAACGATTACTGGATAAAGATATGGAGACTCTAAAGTCAGAAACTGCCAAACTCCGCGAAACCCAATCCTGCATAAAGAAAAGAACCAAATCCGGAGAAAGAACAACCTGCAAAACACCTTGTGATTCCGAGCAATCCAGATAGCCCAATAGAAAGAAACCAAACTGACCAAAACCTCCCAAGATTTAGAATGCCACAAAGAACCCACCAACTCTACAAACCAGGTAGACAAGGATTTATCTTGATCCGCTGTGATTGAAGAAAACAAAGGAACTAAAACCCAGAGAGAAGAGACAAAAGGACAATCTCGAAACAAATGATCAATAGTCTCAGGACCTTCAAGGCAGAAAACACAAGTTGAGTCCACAGGGATACCCCGAACTTGTAGAATCATTGTTAACGGCAAGGCATTGTAAAGAAGCTTCCAACAAAAACACTGCAAATTTTGGTAAAAGCGGAAGACTCCAAAAACGTTTCCACCATGAAGGAGGGAAAGAGGTTGCCCCTCTAAAAGAATTACAATCTTAAAATTATTATCTATGTGAGGTCTCCCTTTTATCTACGGCCTCATAAAAATTTTCAGCATACCTCATTTCTAATTTTCTATCCTTGTATTTATTTATTTACTATTTTTTTTTGTTTGAATGATAACGATTAAGTACTTTGTTTTTATTACTAGCCTTTTGCAACAATGAAAAAAGTATAGGTGATATTCATAACACATTGACACTCCGTCCGTGTGTGTGTGTGGGTGGGGTGTGTGGGGTGTGTGTGTGTGTGTGTGTGAGAGAGAGAGAGATTCAAATGCCACGTAAGCAAAATTGACGAATGAGATATTTAAGTTTAAATTAATTTTGATATTATGAACTTTATCTAAATATATAACAACTTTTAGCAGATACATAC